TTCTTGCTTCTGTTCTTGACATTTCTTTTGTTAGATTGATATAGCAAAGCTTACATTGTTTTCGAGTTTTCTCCTCTGACTTTTTCAATAAATGTGCAACTTTTACAGTTGTTAGGCTGGTTATACTAGCATTATTTCCAAATAATAAAGTTCTGGCCACATATTCTCTAAACTTATTTATGTTTGATTTAGATTTGGAATGTTCTTTGTATGTATTGAATGCATTTACCATCGACATGCCCATCAGCAACTCAAAAAAACCTTTCGGTACCATTTGACGTCTCGTCGATTGCATGTACTGTAGGACGCCATTTGGCCGGACTTGTCGATACCACACTTGCCATTATTATAAGCAATAATTGCGTCTGGCTTTAATGTTGGCGTTTTGTTTGTTTCTTTTTTCTTTTTTGGAGTGGGCTCCTCGTTACTGCAGCTTGGAGAAAATGCTCTCTTTCGTTTACTTGAAGGTGGCGGAACTCTCATGCCAATTCCGCGAACTGTAGATACCATAAGTACATCCCTAGCATCTTTCCATTTGGAAACGACGATCCCATCATTAGTTTCTCGCGCAATGTACTCATGTTTTTTGAGCTTCTTGGTCGTGACATCTTTTGGGAGGTATTTTCTGGACCGTCTAAGCGTACCTACTGGATTGTACTTTTGGTTAGAAGAATTCTGGCTAATGGACAACTAATATAAAAGTTGTCAGTATACAGAATTCTTCCTTCGTTCAATAATCCTTCAGTCAAGGTCAATACGACAGATTCACCAATCCCAAGTCCAGCAGGACGCTGTTCTTCACTACGGCCAGTATAAATTAGACATTTCCATGTACAACCATTTGGACTGCATAATTTAAAAAGTATATTTTCCCCGTATTTGTGACTCTTGGATGGTATGTACTGACGAAATTTCAGTCTGAATCATCCTCAAAAGCATTTCGAAACGATTTCTTGATAATACCTGAGATACTTGATTTTTATATAATTCAAGTTATGGAATCCTGTTGGTAACATAACTATGTGGTACAAGCCCATTATTCCAACAAATTGAATTGTATGGCAAGCAAGCCCATTAAGAAATATTTGCTTTTTACTTCTTTTTTTTCGATACAGCTCTGTTATTTTTCCTATAAAGATTAGAATTATATCGAGGAACAGACAGATTTTGTTCGATTCTTGTAACCGTTCACTCTTCGTTCCTGCAATAAAGTCTTTTATTTTGACCGTACGACGTGTGCATTCTTTATCTGGCGCTGAGAACAGGATCGTTATACGCCTTCGTGGAAAACATCTGGAAGTTTGTACGAGCCCAGCCAACCATCAGTAAAATCTTCGAGATTCATCAGGTGAGCTGAACTACGTCCCTTCTGTGTGACCAACCATTGTGAGGTAGGAAGTATCCACTTCCGTAAGAGAAACGATCTGAGAACCTGAGAGCCACGTTCGAGGTCCCTGCAGAACGGGCCTAGAGAAACAGAGAGCTACAAGAACCAGAGCAGTCTCCGTTATGAAAAATTTGATTTTTCACATAACACTAGAGTAAGCCAAATCCATTTTATCTATTTAGTCAAAGAAACTCATTAGAAGACAACCAGTAAAAAACCAAGCTAACGTTAGAGAGGAATTCAGAACCAACCATGGCTGACAATCCACAAATGTTATTTAACCTATTGAAAGATAGTGTGCCTATTTTTTCTGAAACATCAAATAATTTATCTGTATATTTACGTAAATCTAGAGAATTTGTTGCCGCTTTGCATGGCCCATATAAAATTCATGCTTTATCGTACGTAAAATCCAAACTACAAGGAGAACCTTCTGTTATCGTTGAACGAAATAATCCTCAAACTTGGCAAAAATTTGAAGAAATTCTCAAAGAAAGTTACAAAGATTTAAAATCCGAATTAATGCTACTTGATGAACTTAGAAATTTATCCCAGTACACAGACTATATGAATTTTCATACTGAAATTTTGCAAAAATTACATATTCTTAGAGAATATGCTCTTTTGATGTAGTTGCTCAATCTAGAGTCGACCTTTACACAGAAGCTGCATTAAATTCATTTGTAACTGGTATTAAAGAACCATAGAAATCACTCCTATTTAACGCAACACCTACAACTCTTCAAGCTGCCTTACAAATTTGTCGAAAATACGATAATTTACAAATACAATCGCAATGCAAAGTATTTACTAAACAAAATGCCAAAAATACTAACGCCATTCAAAAACCGAAACCTACAAATACCTTTCAAAATACACCTATATGGCGATTCCCTTCAAACCAACAATTTTACAATCCGCAATTTTACCAACAGCCACAACGATCTAACTTCCCAACTGGCCCGATTAACATCAGACCAAATTATTTTAATAATCAATTTCAAAGACAAATTCAACCACGACAGCCTAATTTCTATCCACAAAATAGACAAGGTCCACCAAAAAACACTAAACCGACACCCATGTCTACATCAACTATTACGAACCGCACCTCGCAACAACAGAATCAATATCGTCCTAACTTTTTCTAAAATCACGGACAAAGACCAAATTTTATCGCTGAAGAACTAACCAACACCGAAGCGATTGAAAATACTAAATATGTAACTTTTATAGACCACTTTAGTCGATATACCCAAGCCTATCAGACCATGTCACGAAATCACGTTGACATACTATCTAAAATGAAACATTTCTTTTCACATCATGGATTTCCAAAATCACTTCATTCCGATTATGGAGAATTACGTTCAGAAGTTATTAAAGATTATTGTAAAGCTCATGAAATACATTTGCACTTAGGAAGCACCAGCAATCCTAGTTCTATTGCACCAATTGAACGATTACATAGTACCATTGGAGAAAAATTTCGAATCCTAAGACAGACTCGAAAAACAGACACTACTACTGACCTAATGACTGACGTTATATTAAATTACAATCAATCTGTTCATTCTACTACAAAACATACACCTTTTGATTTATTATACGGTAGTACTGAAGACCCTTATTCATCACATCTTAAACAAATATTAGAAAAAGACAAAATTAATGAACAAATCGCTCACGATTCTTATAATCAATTAAAAAAACAAACTAACAAAAGTAACGAAAAACGCATATCTAAGATCCCCGTTTTAAAATCTCCGATCTATATCAAAATCCCAATCAGACAAACTAAGGACAAACCAAAATATCAAAAACACACTATTTTCAAACAACAAGGAAATCAAATTTTAATCAAAGATAGAAAACACATACTGAGACGAATCAAGCCTCAACGTAAAAATCCTTTACAGAGCTCTACCAGTCCAATGCCTACCAATTCGAGCGCTACTGATGAACCCTCTGCTCAAAGCACCTCCGGAAATCAAACTGCCGCTAGGAAATTCAAGATTAATCGAAAATCGTCATAAAACTCAATTCCTTATTAATTCAAATTATATAACCAATCCAAAACTACATGAAAATCAACACGCACTGAATCTACAGAATTAAAAAGTTATTTTCTTCTGTAAAGGTTTGCAAGGCACTTTTGAGCACAATACTATCAATATCCAAGAAAGCATAGTTTCTGCTACACAAAATATGGATTTTCAAATGAAATTCTTCGAGCAAATCGCACATCAAATGAATTTAAATTCAAATTAATCATTTGAGCGTCCTATCCATTCTTTCATTAAATCATAGGGAAATAAATATCCTCATTGAACATTTGCAAACTTTATACCATAAGGATCATCTGTTAGATTTTGAAACAATGCACCCTTTTGAGATACTGAATCTATGCGAACTATCAATTGTAACTTTGCGAAATGAATCATATTCGTAATTCATGTACCTCTTCTTGACCGTAAAAACTTACAGTGGTTTTGAATTGTATCCGTTAATTATAAGGAATGAATTAATAAAGATCCCAAGCAATTTTACTTTGTAATTTGAAGAAGAAAGATTTTGCTCCAATTTAATCAAACTAAGTAACAATCCGCATTTATGTTTTTAATTACTAAACAGGCACATGTAAGCCATCTAAGTTGGAAAATTGTCCTCATATTCACTTAAAATACTATTAATACTAATATTTCAATTGATATTAAAGACTGCAAGCAGATTGAATTATCACAGCCTTTACTTGAAAGTAATTTTAGCTTTTTAAATCCTTCTTATTACCAAAATCATTTGGAAATAATAGTTCATAGTAAGTTGCAAAACCTTTCTTACGACTCTTACAGCTTTGGAACCAAATTGTAACTGTAAATTAAATTTTCTCTAAGTTGGAGACCAACTTTTCGTAGGAGGGAGGAGTTGTGGAATCCTTTTGGTAACATAACTATGTGGTACAAGCCCATTATTCCAACAAATTGAATTGTATGGCAAGCAAGCCCATTAAGAAATATTTGCTTTTTACTTCTTTTTTTTCGATACAGCTCTGTTATTTTTCCTATAAAGATTAGAATTATATCGAGGCACAGACAGATTTTGTTCGATTCTTGTAACCGTTCACTCTTCGTTCCTGCAATAAAGTCTTTTATTTTGACCGTACGACGTGTGCATTCTTTATCTTACATCGGTGGACCAATATGATGCAAATTTAGACCCATCCAAATATATAAACCAACAAATTTCTGAATTTCCAGTTCATTTGTAGGGTTCTATTGATTTAGTCTTGATTCCTGAGTTAGTTTTGTATTGGAAATTGTAAATTCCGCATAGCGGTTTGTTTCTTCCACTATGAGAGCTATTAGATCAGACGAAAAAAATAGTTGAAATGCATTGAGGGGTGTAAAATTGTCTGCTACATCTACTTAAATACCTTCATTACCGGTGAATTGAAATGTTTGATGATTCCCAGAGTAGTCGTACCAAACAAAATCAAATTGTTTATTTGAGGGATCTAATGCTGTCGGCTCGGGTTCGTGACCTTCATCCTGTATTAATTCTTCATCATCTGATGAACTGGATTCATTATTGGATTTACCACTCAGCTCGCTGCCAGAATTATTGTAATCGGGATCAACATCTGAGAAGTCGGAAAAATCCGTGAACTCCCCCTCCTCGGTTATTTTATCCACTTCTTGCTGAAGAAAGTGGCTTTCTCAAATTCCAACTCCTGTAAAAAAAGATATTTAATGTTTCTATTTTCGAATATTTAAACTTTATCATACGCATACACACAGACATACTTACAAACATCTAAACAATACTTACATTATGTTAGTTATTGAGGCAACAGTGATGTTCACAAAATTGAAAAAATATCTTGTACTTCCACGCCGTGTCAGTCGATTCTGGAAACACCAACAAACGTGACGTATACGTACTCAGTGCTAAATAAACACTGAATATGCATCATCCGACGTATAATCGTATCCCCACCATCAAAAACAACGCGCGGCGTGGCGGCAGTCGAATGCACGAAATGATCACGGCGTAAGTTGGGTTTTTGTTGTCAGTCTAAAGGCGGACTCCCACTACTCGTGTATTTGGCAAGTACGCCAATATTTGCGTACTTGCCAAGTACACCAAGGTTCGAATTCAATTTACAAATAGGGCGCTCCCACTACTCCTGTATTTGGCAAGTACGCCAATATTTGTGTATTTGGCAATTACAGCAGGTTTCGTTGCCTCTCGGTCTTCAGTGTTTGTTTTCTTTCCATCATGGATAGTCGCGTAGTCGCTTCAGCAGCGTTTGTGGTATTGAGTGGCTGCATGAGAAGAATTAAAGCTCATCAAGTTCAGAAAGCAAAAAGAAAAAGAAGATGGTGGATGACTTCTTTGAGCAGAAGTCGAGAGAGGTAAGTTAATACCTCTATCTGTCCTGATCTACCAAAAGCAAATACCATGCCTTTATATTCTCAAGATTGACACACTGGTCAAAATTATTTTTTTGCAGGTACAATGTCTCCATTATGATAGAGGACCTGATTCGAGAACCGTCAGGAAGGTTGGAGAATTTCCTGCGAATGTCCTACACCGACTTCGAATTTCTACTGAATGAGGTGGGACATATGATAGGGAAAAAAGATACTCAGCTGAGGAAGGCAATTTCAGTTAAGGAAAGGTTCTGCGTTGCTCTCAGATTCTTCGCTAGTGGTGACAGTTTCGTGAGTTTGTCATACCTCTTCAAATTTTCACAACAAACTGTATCCCGGTGCGTTTTCGACGTTTGCGATGCATTGATTAGCGTTCTCAACCATCAAATAAAAGTAGGTATACAACAAACATTTCTACATTGTTTATTCAGTTAAGAAATAAGGTAAAAGCATGGTTAAAGTTAAATTAAAGTATGGTCAAAGATTAGTATAGTTTTCTGTTAATAAGGATATATCATTGCAAGTAGTTATTGGAATCTCAGGAGCAAGAGGCGGTTGGTGGGCGGAAGAAGTTGCAGAATTCTGTGGCAAAGAGGTGATCGTCGGAGTTGTATGAAAAGTTTCATCAGACGATGACGAATAGAAAGATGCTGGGGAGGCTGGTTCTGGAAATGCCGATTGATATCGAGGTCCCATCGATGACGAATAGAAAGAAGTTGGAGATTGATATTGAGGTCCCATGGAGAAGAATAGGTTATCAATCTCGTTCATCACAATAATCCTGTCCACTTCGCTTAACGTCTCGAGCCTCTTAGCCACTAGTTGCCCATAGGCAGTACAAACAGTGGTTTTGGGTGGTTCGGTATTTTGACATTGTTTCATGATTTCATAGGCTTCTTCCATACGACGGTTAGTCTCCTCCATGTCCACGGCCTTCCTTTTATTTTTCTTTGCTCCCCCAACTGGTGCCTTGAAATGCTTTTGGTTGCTTTCAGTGCTTTTTTCGATTCCACCCTCGTTGTTCGCAGATGCAGATTCCGTGTTTGCCTCGATTTCATTACTGTCTCTTCCTCGCATGTCTGCCTGTCTCTGTATATCTTTGTATGTCCCACCGTCCCCACTTGCAGACGCAGATTCCGTGAGTGAATCTTCTTCGGTTTCCTCTTGAGGCATGCTATCCTCCCAATACTGAAATGAGACAGATGATTTTTTAGCTTCTAAGCATGATTTTACCTTCAAAATAAAGAAATTTAACGCACAGGGCGGCCCAAATTCGAGCGGCACGTTAGTGAACACCAAAATACGCAACGTTGCCACAATTTAACCAAAGCTGTAGTATACTAGGAGATCTCAATGATGTGTCTCGAATTTGGGCCACCCTGTATACGATATTACACTCTGATTATATTCATTAATAATGCTGTCTTCAGGTTTCTAGTTATTATTTCTTTATTCCAGATGCCGAGAAGTTCAAATGAATGGAAAAAAATTGCAATTGAATTCGAGAAAAGGTGGAATTTCCCTCATTGCTTGGGAGCTATAGACGGGAAGCATATACTGATTCAGAGCCCAATGAATAGTGGATCAGATTTTTTTAATTACAAACACACTTTCAATGTTGTTATGATGGCACTTGTGGACGCCAATTACATGTTCACATATGTGGATGTTGGATGCCAAGGCCGTATAAGTGACGGAGGTGTATTCCGCAATACCGTTTTGGGCAGAAAACTCGAAGAAAATAGACTGATGTTACCCAACGATGAAACTCTACCCAATCATACTCAAACTACTTTTCCTTACGTTTTCGTCGCAGATGATGCTTTCGCTTTGGGACCCCATTTATTAAAACCATTCCAAGGAGTCTACGAAGCAGGCAGCGATGAAAGAGTATTCAATTACCGGTTGTCTCGTGCTCGGCGCATTGTTGAGAACGCATTCGGAATACTAGCGTCGGTCTTCCGGGTGTTTAGAGCACCTATGCTACTACAACCCGACAAAGTCAGCAAAGTAGCAATGACTTGTGCACTGCTTCACAATTTTTTACGGAGCAGTAAAGACTCTTCTGCTACCTATGCACCGCCAGGCGCTATCGATATGGAGCAAGACGGCACAATTATTCCCGGCACATGGCGAAGCGATGTACAAAATATGATATCTTTCCTACCCCTCAAAAAAATACCAAGAAAAGCTGGTCGTGAGGCTCAGGAAATAAGGAAATTATTTTGTGGCTATTTCAAAACTACTGGAAAGGTTCACTGGCAGGACCGTTACTGTTAAATATTCATTGTACCGTTCCAATATCTTAAAATAAAACAATCTTTCACTCACCTCTGAATTATATGTATTCCTTGCGACTGAAACCCCATGCAGAAAGCTCTCCATTTTCTCGAATGCAAACCAAGTTGGTTTATAAACGTCCTTGCTGCCGGTCCCTGTTTTTGATGATGCCTTAACTTTCCTCCACAATGGTCGAAATGACGCCATCAATTCTTTCTCAAATCGGCAACCGTACATTCGATCGATATTTTATTTTTGATGCGTAGTCAGGCATCGTTAATCAAGTTTCTGTTTTTATGTTGTGGATGCGTAGGTTGCCATATAACTGGCTCATTTTCATACAGATCGAGAAATTCAAAAACAACTTCTTGTGACCACTCCATTTCGAAAAACCTCTAGGGGAACACGCACCACGCACACGCAACAGAAGCCAAACACAGACTCAACTGAAGAAATTAATTGCGGCCAAGCCGGCAAGTAGTGGGAGCGCATCGACAAGTATAAACTTGTCAAATACGCAAATAATTGAAAATGCTTTGACTCGCGGTATTTTTACCGACAACCTGCGGGGCTTCTCCAGCTGCAAATAATTGTACAAGTAATGGCCGAGTGAACCACTCCCACTACATGGCAAATATAGGCAAGTGACAAATATTTGCCAAATACACGAGTAATGGGAGTCCGCCTTAAAAAGGCTGACATGGCAGTCAGAGTGTTAATTTCTAAGAAGATAATATTTAATAACGACCAACCGCTTAATCTTTCTTGAAATTCAGATAGCTTATTAAAAATGTTATCAACAATGTTATCTTTGAACCATTGTTGTAAATTTGTAGTTTGATCAATGATATCATTTCTGGTATTGAAATATTTAAAATCATTGATATCTATACCATCTGAAGACTTAATAAATTCACCACAAAAGGTCCCATTTACTTTAAAAATGGACGTTACGGACAATTTATTTTGTATTTGATGTTCAAATAGATTGAACGCATCTAGGAAAAAATCATGTATGTCAACATGTTTTAAATTTATAATAACACAACCTTACAACCTTTTTTGGTGTACTGGATGTACCACGACCTACATGAAAGGACTCTAGTAAAAATTTATATCTTTTTAAGTGTACCACACCAGTATGAACAGCTTTTCGGATAGTAACAACAATATATTTATTTTTAAGAGCTTTGTAAAAAAATTTTAAATCTTCATTAATCAGTTTTATCCAACGTTGTTTATCTGATTCAGAAGCATGTCTTTTTTCAGTAAGAGTTTCATAAGCTTTTTTAAAAATCTTAACAGTATTTTTAACCGATTCGCTGAATGGTTCTGAAAGGTCCATTGAATTTCGTTCAAAACAAATCAATATTACTTTACCTTGAGAATAACAATCTTAGCATATAATACAAGTAGTTTTCTTACTTATTCGTGTAGATCCTTAACCCTTTCAAGGCATATTTTTAAATTTTTAAGCTATTTCATTTATAGCTGAAAAAAATGAAGTGATAAGATCTCAAAAGCATTAAAAATAGCCCAGAAAATTTTTCCATTTGGAGAAAAAGGAATTAGTAGGTGGTATCACCATGATACCACCAAGCACTAAAATAATACAAAGCAGATATTACTGAAAGATATATTTAATTAAGATAATGTTATAAAAAGGAGTTTGAAGTAAAAACATACAACTTATTTGCTATGATATTTTTCAAAGCAATTTTTTTGGTCAGTGAGACACAAACCGACATTGCAAGTACTGTACGACCATCGCGTACGGTAATGTTCCGCTTTTGTGCTGCAAAATGCACGTCTTCATCTGACCCATTTTGATCATCCTCCGATTCATTTCCTGAAGGTATGTGCTCAAAAAATATATTCCTGTACTCTTCATAGGTCATATTTTCCAAATCTTTGTAAGACCACTTTTTCCCTGAAACAAAATCCCCAATCAATTAGTCACTATCCACGTAAGCAGCTAACTTAGTAAAATAATTGAATCAAAAACAAAAGTACACCCACCAATAAACAAACATACCAACAACATACAAGTAGCCCACCAACCAATAGTCTAAATAGTTTTTCCATCGACTTCCATCCCGCCGCAAACCTCACAATTACCGAACTGACGGCAGATCAACTAACCCAGCAAAACAACCAAGTTACTCAAAAATAGAAAAATACGCCCACTAATTACACAAACACACTGCCAAACATACAAGGCAAAAATCCAAAATCACCGAAAATATTAGGCATTGATTGCTATGTGGTATCAATTGACACCACCTTAATTTTATTCAAAGCAACCAATAAAAATATATAAAATCGCGTGTGCCTATGATAATAACATAAAACAATACCTAATACAATAAAATATAGTACTTACCCGCCATTCTGTCCTTATTTTTTGAAATAAACACTCAATTTATGACCACGCACGCCATTGACCTGCACACTGCGAAAACAAATCGATAAATGTCAAATAACAAGCTGTTAGGAATGGCGTCCTATGTAAATAATTTTTTTCATACTAGTTGGCAATATAGTGCTACTTCTTACACGGTGGTATCGGCAGATAACCACTCCGCAGCGCCGTGATAAACTATTAAAAAGGTGGTTTCATGGTGACACCACAAAGCTTGAAAGGGTTAAGCTTAAAATAGTGAACTTGATTGTCTCCGAAAGAGCTGGCCTCGCTGCCTGTATACGCAATTGCGTCCCGGAGTGAAATTTTCTAGGTTTTCGATAATCACTTTTGTCGCTCTCCCTGGTAGAAACACTACGAAATTGTTTAGCTCCACCAACGGCACCTGCCCAAAACGTCCTTGTACGATTCTTAATGAAAGTACAGTCTGGTATTGGTTAAGCGGTAGCTCGTGCAGGCTCTTTTTCGGCTTACTCGTGTAGCCCGTAGCTGCAATTTCATTTATTTGGTTTAGGTCCCTGTTTATCTAACATGAATGAATAAAAAAAATGTGAGTGATAGAAGTTATCAAGAAGTTAACGTAAAAATCAATATATTAGCATTCATCTAACTATTTGCTCTTTCAATACATCAAAAACAAAATTAAAATACTAGCCTTGTTGGAATTTATTAGATACACAATATAGACTGTACTATGTTTTCAATATTGTATCAATGTTAAAAATTAAAACTTACCAGAAATTATTTACAATCACTTCACGCACGAACTTTACAAGCCTGTATGTACTTGTAGATGGGGAGCAACTGCATCTATTGCTAATCATTAACTGTATGCACCACATATGAGCAATTCCATTTTTTATATGCGCACTGAATATGACGTGTTGACTATTGAGATCATCCTACACCCATTGTTCCCGCGAATTTTATAATACATACGTTTTTTCCCATTTAAACTGAATCTGCAAAATTGCATCTATAATTACCATTATTCATCGTCTTTTATCGATCTATATGTAAATATTTACCGCAAAACGTGCTTTCCTATCTATTCTGTTGAAAAATATCCCTATTTCCCCAAAGTACACAACGAAAACTTACCCGCGCATCACCTACCCCAGCACCTACCACGAACGCCACAAACGCTATTTACACCCCCGTAGTACGCCCGCGCCAGCACTAACCAGAACGAGCCCCATGCACATGCGCACGCGCGCACACGCGCGCGAGAGAGGGATGTGGGGGTGCGCTTGTTGTGTGTGTGGGTTTTTTTACAATTTTACATGCTATTTTTTAGGTGGTCTAGTATTCCTATAGCTGTAGTCAAAGTTATAGGATTTTTGGACCACTATACGTTCTGGACCACATTAGGTGGTCTAGTATTCCTATAGATGTTCTAAAAGTTATAGGAACACTAGACCACTACACGTTCTCGACCAAAATCTGTGGTCTAGTATTCCTATAGCTTACTTGATTGAAAAGGTGATTAGGAGAAAGGGCAACAAGCTGTTAGTTAAATGGTTGGGATTTCCACATTATAAAAACTCTTGGATATATATTAATGATTTATTGTAATCCTTTTCTGTTGGACTCTCAGTTTTATGTTTTGCGTTATATTTACGTAGTCGCTATATGTTCGAAATGGTTGTATCAATAAAAAAAATACAAATTCTGTAAATCTTGTTTTAATAAACTAACCTAGACACATTGATTTTTGCATTCATTCAAAACCCCTGAACATACCATACCCACTTCACTCTCCCTCCACTGTTATCTTTCGTTTCAGATTCAGAGACCTGTTTACCTATCCGCAAGGGCAATATAAAAACGTTAAATCTACCTGCCTTTACGTATCCTTATTGGTTAGCATGCATACAAGAGGTTAGGCCACGCCGTATATTTACTAATCATAAAACGCCTCTAACCTACCGATTGATCGTTCTCCTGTTTGAATTCACCCCCTCCCCGCTTATATGTGTGTGTGTGTGTTAGGATTCCACATAAATTCAGTCGCACCTGCTACGTTACACTAGTTGAGTCTGTTAGTACCAGCATATTTTATCCCCATAATCAATATCATTATGCAAGCAACCGCGAATAATCTAGATGACATTGCAGTCCTCCATAATGATTTGGATGCAATTATAGCTGACCTGGAAGGTGACGGAATTCAACTGACTCAGACGACAACCGACATAGAACTCCAGGAGTTCATTCAAATTAGACCTGCTGAAGCTGCCGTGTTGGAAAATACAATGGATAATCCCACAACAACACCGCTTCCAGCAATGGAGGCTCACATCTCGCCTTCAAAATCGTTAAACCAGATGAAGCACGTAATTGAAAGAACAAAGAAAACCACCACCAAGCAGCCGAACAGTCAAACTGGTATCAATGCTTTAAAAGAAAGTATAATGCTAATGAAATCAGACATCCAAAATACCGAGCGACAATTGGCAGAGGAAATGGATAAGAGTCAAAAACTGTGAGAACTTCACCAAGACGAGGAACTTCTAAAACAGTTAGACGATGACAGGAAGCGCGTACGTGAACAGAAAAATAGGAGGAAACGGCAAATGGACGAAGTGATGAAAAGGGTTGACAACTTGAAAGAAATGGCACAACGGAAGAGGGGCAGGCTTTTAGAAGAAAAAGAAACACTTTTACTTTTATTTGATTTTTGAAAATGTACATATATATGTATAATGTAATAAACCTTAAAATGTTTAATTTCGCGGGTGGTTCTGGGCAATGGATATTTGAGAATGGCTTGAATTTTGTCGGGGTTTGGTTTTACTCCTTGCGATGTGACAATGTGACCAAGAAAAGCTGCTTCCTTTTTCAAAAATCCGGATTTGTCTAACTGAAC